TACAAACAATAATGCACCTACATATTCAAATTGGCCTGACTACTATATTAAATTATTTGAGGGAAAACCTGAAAAATTGCTTACCTGGGAAAAATTGCTACCTTAGTTTTATCAGTTACAGTCAAATAGCAATGAAGTTTTCAAAACAAAAGACATACAGAAAAAAGCTATAATAATCACCACAACACACTCAACAGTATTTTCATTTTGTTTCTTTATGTTTACATAGGAGCAACCCTAAACCTGCTCTTCATTCCCCTTAGCTGAAAAGTTTGGAAATACAGCATAAAAAGCAATTTAGTATCATTCACTGTGAGCAGACCACTGCCTAGCATTCTGTGGAGTGATCCCTGTCACAGGAACTTACAAGGCACACTGCTGCTCCCACAGCTACCTCCATTCAGGCACAAAATCAGCTACAATATTTGGCTTCAAAAGACAAAGCAGAGCATCTGCAATGCTTTTCCTTCACCTCCCCTTGCTGTGAGTGGGACAGAGCCTGCAGAACTGGTGGTCTGCAGCAGAGCAAACGGGGAGCCAGTGGCTGGTTGCTGGAGACATGACAAGCCAGCTGCACACCAACTCCCTTCTGGCAGCTGACTGCTGAGCTCCAATACACCTTAGCCCAATCCAAAATTATCTCTGACCACATCTACCTGATGCACAAGCTCTGATTCACCATTTCCCACAGAGCAGATTCATGTGCCATGCAGGGAGTATTTCTAAAGGACCTAAGCATTTAGCAGAGGGCAAGCAAAGGCATGACTTTACTACGTGCTATCTGCTCTGTGATAACCACATATATGCTTACCCCACGCTAAATGGGAGCTCGTGGCCCACTCTTTCGCTGAGAAGTAAAAACTCCCTTCAGTCACTTTGCATCCCTCATGTGCAGAAGCACAGGGCTGGGCTTTCACCAAGCAGCGGTTGGTTTGCATTTACCTGCTCCCTTCTACTTTTCCAAGCACCCGTTCCCCAGCAGCTCATGGACTGATCCCACTGCAGTGGTAATGGATGGAACAGTCCAGCCCACAAAGCAGATGTGCTGTCTTGCAAACTCAAAGCTTTACAATAATAAGTCGTCTCTACGTTCAACTGACTGCAGCTGCAGTGGCCCTTTACCTGTCCCTCTACATGTCTTAGAAGATGCCATCAGAGTGCAAAAAAAGCAGCAGCATGTAAATGGAAAGGACTGAGTGGCAGATTGCTCTGCTCCTGCCATTCCCCACTTCTCTTCTGCTTCACAAAGACCCAACAGGTCCAAAGACATGGCCTTCACAGAGTCTTGGTCCAGTAAGAACAGCCCGGGAGACAAAGTTTGCTGACAACAGGGCAACTCATGAGAGGAAGGGTCATGACCACCCAGGGGAGCTGAAAACTGCCTAAGGAGCAAAGGGTTCCCACTGGCATGTCCAGAAAGGCTGACTGCCCACAGGCAAAACCACCTAACAGCTAAGAGAAGCCCTGGGCCAGGACGTGCTAACACTCCAGCATCAGAGGTTAATCCCTGAGCTCATGAGGGCTGTCAGCACCCTGCAGAGGTGCTAATCCACGGCTGGGTGCCTAACACAGCCTGGTAACACCTCCCACACGTGGCTCCTCCTTCACCACGCTGGTGCTGAGGCTGGGTGAAGCCCAGAGAAGGATGCTTTATCTCTTTATAGATTAAGCCATTTCCAGCACATGAACAAATCAAAGGCTTACAGTTTTGGGCCTTAGACCTTACTCTCATAAGAAGTTAAATCATAAAAAGATCTGTGGATGCACAGCAACAGCACAGAGAGAGAAACAAACACCACAGTCTGCACTGGAGTCCTCTGCATCCTGATAATTTGTGCAGTGTCCTCCTGGCCACCTCACACCACGCTCAGGGCTCCCAGAGGAGCTAGAAAGCCACTGTTGCAATGGCTCTGAGCACTCCTGACTGGACAGGACTATTCACTGCACAGCAAAAGGCAGCAGGGCAATGACCATCCCTAGTGGTGTATGTGCCACCAGCAACAATGGCCCTGAACTAATGTTCAGTAAACTGCAGTGTAAGGGATACTGCCTGCCTGAACTACCAGCTGCAACACCAGTGATGTCTGGTTTGTCTTGATTGCCCAAAGTCCTGTATACACAGAACTTCCACCTGAACAAAAAATCACATACATACCTTTGGCTAATGAGAAAGCCAACCCTGCACCCACACTTAACAGGGTTCTTTAATTAGAGAGAGGATCTTTACTAGGTAATTTCTTTTGTGCTAAACCGTCTTCAGGCACTAACAACGATTTTTCCCCAGACATTGCTAGGATCCTGAAGGTTTTTCTTTATCATCTGCTTAACCCAAGAAAAGGAAAAGTCCACATGCAGCAGGGAACAACTCTCCCTCTCTTAAGACTTCAGTAAATGGACTGAGAAAACTCCTGAAAACTCCTGAAACTTTACCAGTCCCAGAGAGAAGTCACTGTTCATTGTGGGTGACCAGTTTTGCTTCTTGCTCAGACTTTTGGCTACTAGTGCTACAAGTGCAATCAAAATGCAGGTCTGAGTTGCACACCACTACTATCCTCCAGAACCATCTGGCCCAAATTATATTATCAAAGCAGAGGATGTTACTACATTCACCCTTTATTGAATCCTGGGAAAAACGCTTTGAGATCAGCCCCAAACTATTTTACTAGCTCTCCTCAACCTTGCCGAAAAAGCCCCCAAATTACAAAGTTAATTGGCAGCACATTGTTACCATATGTGGTGTGCAAGAGAAGCACTGAAGTTTATTTAGGCATCAGAACCAAAGAAGAGTGGAATATTACTGCTCTTTATGAGGATTTCGTGTTGCCCTTGATTACTAAGGCATCCCCAGCCTTGATCCTCCTGTCCAACACACCACAGCACACTGCAGCATGGGGGCACCAATCTGCCTCCAACCCAATTTCCTCGGAGAAACTCAGGACACTGTTTGCTGTGCTTTTGCTTACTAGATGTCAGCATTTTCCTTTCCATGTTCATATGCTTCTTTCTTGCGCAAAGTTTTCCAGGCTGTCTCTCTCATCTCTAAAGCACGACCCTGAACCCAACCAGCTATGCTCTGCAGCTGCTGGGCCACACTGTCTTGTGGAGCAACTCTCCTTGCTCTAGCTGCCCAACTCATCCTGCTGGATGTCTCACAAATCTTTTATGAGCGGTGGATTCTTGGACTACGGGCTCTAACTTCCATTCTTCCCATTTAAACTCTGAGTGAAAAAAGGTCAGTAGCAAACTTGTATCACCAGGATCTTACCAAGACTCTTCCCTCTTTACACTGGCAGCAGCAGTTCCTCTTGGAGCCTGTGCACTTACAAAGCTCTAAGCCCTGCACTGATGCAGCATCATTCACTAACATGTGAAGTCCCCTCAGCTCCATGACAGCAGTCCACAGTTGATGTCTGCAGTAAAATTTGTACTCACAGGCTAGAAACATTCTCTCTGCTTTTAAACTCTGACAGAATCCCTCCATCAGTGTCCTTGCACAGACTGCCCAGCGTACATTGACATCCCAGCCCCACACGTGCACCTGCAGAGCTCCCATCGCCCCATCTGAAGGAATAAACTACAATTCACACAGTCTAGCAGGGGTCATGGGCAAAGACTGCCTGCCTTAAAGCCCCATAAACTATTTTTAAATGCTCAAATGGACTTTTGTGAAGTGAAACATCAGGTTTCAATTAAGATGCCTTCACTTCCCAATCCAGTGTGTGTTAAACAACCTATCAAAACCTCATAAACTTCAGTTCACAGCATTTTCATTTCTGGATTCTCTCTTCTCTCAGTTTAAGCAATAACTTGTGTATTAAAATAACGTGTCTAAAAATAAAAAACAAATCTGGAGAAAAATAAAGGCGAAAGTCTGATGATTTTTGTCCTTTACTGGGGCAGCAGTCCTGATTTTCTGGAAGACAAATCAAGACCTCGTCTTTCAAAGGGTAAGTTCTGGAGAATGCAGAGAGGTGAAGTAAGTTACTTTCTAATTGATGGGAATATTCAGTGCTCCCAGAATCCTGTGACAGCTTCTGTATGTACATACACACACAGGGCAGTGCATTTTACAAAAGGCCCTTTCCACGTGGCTGAATCTGTCCGCACATCTCGCACATCGCATTTTAAGAAGGAAATGTCTTATCTCCAGGCACCCACCCATCTGACTTACACAAAGCAAATGTCTCTAATATTTCTGAAGTCTTCGTGATATAATTAGAGCATGGAAAATGAGTCACTATTCTGTCTAGTCCAAACCCATGCTGCGAACATGGCAAATCTCCTGCGCTGATAGCAAAGGAAGGGGCAGAGCAAGCAGACCTTGTCCAGGGAAAGTGCCTCTCTCTGGGTTTGTCAGCTGTGCTAATGTGCCCAAAAATGTCACGTGTGGTCTCTATCAACAACTATATCACATGTGTACATGAGTAATTTACCCACCCAAGCAATACTTACTCTAATGGCTGACATATTACGTAGAGCAAATATAAATAGGTTCTGAGGACAGCATTGCAATGTGAGATAATCCAGAAAACCCAAGTCACCACCTACTCCACACTAACACTCCAAAAAGTTGCACTGGGGGTGAGAGATATGAGAATGACCATTAAGGTACTTTGTTAATAAATATGACCTAAAACTGAGGTTTGCATTGTTTTCTTTTGTGAGCTTTTACATCTAAAACCTGTTGCTGCGAGATCAGAATTTCTTACCAAAGGCCTCATAAAACAATCTTTACCCTCCTCTACTATAAGCCTGGGATGCAACTTCACAGTGGTGTTCAAGGCATTGCTGAAATGTTGATGATCCCCACCCCCCAATGCTCAGATCAGGAAGGATCTTGCCTTGGTCTGCAGGAGACTGAGTGCTGCCACCATAACAGAGCCAAAGTCTCTTCCCTTCAATGTTCAACAACAGAGGCCCAGAGGGAAAGTAAGAACAGCCTAGTCTGCTGCTTGGTCTCATCCTTCTCTGTGGTTTTGCTTCCTTTGCTTTATACCTACCCCTCTGCCCATCAGGCCGTTGTTGAAAGGCAGTCCGATGAAGCTGAAAGCTGCTTCCTGGATGAAGTAGGGATTCAGGATACGTATCTCATGAGGTTCTCTTGGGACACGGGTTGCCACTGACTTCCAAAAGCCATCAGAGGCACTCTGGTAACAACAAAAAAAAAAAAGAAAAAGAAAGGTAAAACAACAAACACAGTTACATACAAAATATAGATTTCTATTATTTTATTTAAAAACATATTAAAATGCACTAATGGTAGTGGTTCCCACTGTCTCTGCTCAATGCCACAGGGAACTAGTGTAAGGTTGTAGGGGATCTGTGCATCCTGGAGAGACGACAGCAGCATGGACTGATGCACTTGAGCTAGTCTGGATAGCAACTGTGAGGAGGACAGACAGGCTTGACCTTCAGCAGGAATAACCCCCTCCCTGATGCCATCTTTTCACTCTTATTGGCACTTCATCCACATGGTATACCATTCACATGGTATAGCATGGAGTACCCCCAAAATAACCAGAGGCTCCTTGTTCAAAGGACTTAGAGAACATTTGCATTCTAATGTTCAACTACTGTTTAGGTTAATACAGAGCAGGACACAGGGAGGATGGCAGTACTTTTAATCTGCTAACCAGCAGCTTGGGCAGGTAATCTGATTGAATGCCTCCTTCTCACAGCATTGAGCCATCTTCCCTGTGATCTCCCTGACAAGCAAAAGAGACAGACACTACACTCTACATAAAACCCACACGTTTTGGAATTTGTTATTTACACCAGTTCTGGATTGTTTGCAGCTTAACAGCGACTTTACAGCTGCTTTCAGGGCACTGCTGAAAATGTTGGTGATCCCCTGAAAAATCCTCAGGAGCTTACCCTGCCCAGCAGTGATCACCCCTGCAATTATCAGCAGGAATTCTGCCGCAGTCCATGCCTGCTGCATTTCACGCGCTCCTTGTACTCGGAGCCTTGCGCTCGGCTCCTGTGAACTCTCACACCACGTGCTGCCAAACACCTTACCGAGGGTTTTTTATGGAACAATCCCACAGATATCTTTAGCTGCTGAATTTCATATCCTGAAACTGAAACTTTGGCAGATGGCTCGTGCTACAAAAGGCATTAACACAGCAAACTTGAGGAGGACGCACACGGTCATCCTAACCAGCAGTCTAAGAAAGCCAAGCCCCATTGCTATCCCCTGTGTCCCCTCAAAACTGCCCAAACACAATACACTTTTGATGACCAGGGCAAGCATCCTGTGAGTTTAGGTTCGCATTTCAACAATGGTGAAGTGCTCTCAGGACCCTAAATGGAAAAAATTCCTTATTAACACTCATGTTCTTTCATCATAGTTGAATTAGAAAGAATGCCCAGTGTCAAAGCAGTCTAACACTTTCCATTATAATAAGACACTTTCAGTCAATGAATGATCTCAGCATTAAAAAAAACCCCAGAAAAAACCCATTATAAATGTTAATAAAGTCCAACATCCATTTGACTGAGGGATTTGAGGGATTTGGTATGTCAGCTGAGTTTTGCCTCCTTGTGAAAATTCATTAAAAATTGGATAAATATTAAACCTTTGGAATTTCCTAAAGGCAAATGTGAAATAGAGGCCTTTCAGTTCCACAGAAGGAGAGGAAAAAAAATTAAATAAAATCACAGATTCCACTTGCATTAAGCATGCTCCAAGTCTCACAGAAATGAAGATGATAAACAAAAGTCTTGAGCAGCTACTCATTCGGTGAAACCATCTTATCATAGGCTTAAGCAGGCACACCCTGGAAAAATAGTGTGTGACCCTGAAACTAAAATAAATTTATAAGTTCAATTACCATTTCACATGCAACTCTAAATATGGCATTGCCTAAATTTTGCAAACAATTCAAAACCAAAGGTCTGCAAAGCTATTTAAAGTGGACAAAAGATGTCTTTTGTTTGGACTTACACTCCATAGGAGATTCCATATAAGTTCTGGGATTTGAGTAGGTTTTACATGGCTTTTACGTTACACACAAAACATTAAAGAGAAAAGAAAAAGAAGAAAGGTTATAAACATTCAAGACTTTCATTCCCTGCTGCTGCTGGAACTGTCCAAAAGGAGGTAACTACACATTCCACTGCTGCCCATTTTCCCAGCGCTGTGTGAACCACCACGACCACACCTGGGCTCCCCTGAGCTAGTTCAATGCCAGTGCAAAATAAATGTGGGTCCCTATTCCTAGCTGGAAATACAACCTGTCTGCTTTGGTCCCTTCTACGTAGCTGTTTCTCCCGTTGCTCATCATGACTATCTCCCTAACCAGTTTCCTCAGCTATCACACTGCTCTGAAATTGCTCTGGTTTCTCCCTTCTGTCTCATTTCTATTTGCTCTGTGTTCTCTGTAACTTTTCGAGGCAGTTCCCCTGACATTATTATTGAAGGCCACCTGGGGTAATCTGTAGTTTCTAAAACAATTGTAGGGAGAACAGTGCAGTCTCAGCAGACAGCTCTCACAATTCCACCTATACAGCAGGCAAAGCCCCATATAGGCCTAAAGAACCAAAAACCGTTCTCCTGGCTTACAATTTCTGAAATTCTCAGCCTTGTGGTTTGGCTCTCCGAGCCCTGCAGCTTTCAGCTACGTCTCAGGCCCTGTGGTTTTGTTCTGCAGCTTGTCTGTCACTGGCAAGCTACAAGAGGCAGCAGCACCACCACGCTGGGAGCCCCGGGAGGCTGCTCCCCTGACACAACCCCCTCAGCGGAGGGAGCGCAGCCCCTTCCAAGGCTCCGGAGCGCAGCCCCTTCCAAGGCTCCGGAGCACAGCCCCTTCCAAGGCTCCGGAGCACAGCCCCTTCCAAGGCTCTGGAGCACAGCCCCTTCCAAGGGCTCCGGAGCCCAGCCCCTTCCAAGGCTCTGGAGCACAGCCCCTTCCAAGGCTCTGGAGTACAGCCCCTTCCAAGGCTCCGGAGCGCAGCCCCTTCCAAGGCTCCGTGCTACCGCCGATGCTCGGCCTGCCGGGGATGTTCAGCCTGATTGGACCCAGATGTTCCGCGGCGTTTCCAAGGCAATTACTTCCCTTTTTAGGCTGGGAGGAGACCAGCAGCCACCCGAGGAGCATCAGGCACCGGGAGGGAAGGCACCGCAAGTTCCTGCCAGATTCGGGAGCTCAAACTCGCAGCTGTAGGTTGGGGGCACCCTCTGTTCTCTGCTACAGTGATTAAACCCGCAGTGCTCACGGGTGGGCTTCTAAGGATGAAATAACTCCTGATTAGCATAATAAGCAGTCAGAAAATAAGCCTGAGAACTGCTCAGGCAATGTCCCGACACTGCCTCATCACCTCCTGGCACTGAGGTGGGAACCAGAGGGTCCAGGCTGGAAACTGTGTTTCCCTATGGTAAGTTCCCACTGTTGTTATTTTTTGGTATGTTGGTATTACTGTGCATCCAGAGCCTCAGCCACAGATCAGTATTCATGGTACCACGGGCGGCCAAAAAAAAGCTTATACTATAAGCATAAAAAACCAAGCACCACAGAGAGAGAGAGGCAGACAGGAGAATATGACTGAAGAACGTGTCTAATGAGGGCCACAGCACTTTTTATGCAATCTTGAGTATTTTCAAAATTGTATAACTGTAAAGGGCATCACTAAAGGCTTTTTAGAGGAAACTACTTTTAAAACTACCTAAGAAGTTAGATAGGCCTGGGCTTTTAAGCCAGCCTCTTGTACAGCTCCCATCCAGGGAGAGAGACAGAAGGAGACACCACCTCTAGAGACACCACTGCAGGAATAAACCAGTACAGATATGACAGACCAAAGATGGCAAGTTATGAGGAAGCGATAAAAAATGGCAGGGTTCACCAAATAGCTCCAGGGACAAGACAATCCAGCTGCAATCCCTCATTTTGTCCATTTGCAGAATACTGAATGGTAATTGGCACAGCTGGTTGTAAACTATTTTTTGTCTTCATTCAGTTTTCCATCTCCTGTTTTCAGATTTACCAAGGCAAATCACAACATACGCTAAAATAAAATATGGAAACTTAGAGCCTTATCCAAGAAGCACACCTGACTGGAAGATATAAACCACTAGAAGCAGGCTGAGTCTCCCAGAATAACAACATTCATAATATAATGAGCAAAATGAGGGGTAATGCCACTGCATCCCGATGAAACAGGTGCTGCCTCTTCTGTACCTCTGTGTTACTACTGGATTTAGGATTACAAGCAGCATTGTTCTTGAAGACTTCTAACTCTGATGGGAAGGGGACAGGGAGATTGCAAAGGTCAGCTACGTGCAACACAAAGCTGAATAAGTTCTGGGTATGCAATACCTGCTGCAGAGCAACAAGGTGAAGAGACCAGAGAGGGAACCTGTGGTAAATGGAGATTACTGCTCTTTCAAATACTGGTAACACCAGAAATGGAGAGGAAGAAGGACATGAGGAAAAGAAAAAGTCAGGGGATGATGTACCAGTCACAAGATCTAATTGTGCCTGGGAGATCACCATGCACTGAAACCTCTGCGCCCACCAAAGCTGAAATGTGGTTTATTCTCTACCTGTCGTCCACAAGCACTCACTGTCACACAATCGGTACAGCAGAACTGCTGCAATCCATCTGCAGAGGCTTTTGAAAGGTTTCTGCTCAGTCATAAAGAGATTAGATGTGGAAGGTGTGTTTCCACTAGAAAATAACCATCTTATCAGCCAATGCTGCATTTCTCAGCGGTCAAGTAGACATGGAGGCCTGGAAAACGCTCTTCTACAAGTGGCAATATAAATGAAGTTGCATCATTTGCATCAATTATCACAGCAACAAGGAATTTTTAGCAACAAGAACAGAGGTGCTGAGAGCCTGCAGTCTGGGTTGATGGTCAACTGCCAGACCCACTAGCCCACACTTCAAATATATTTACCCAACTTCCTGAAAGCGATGAAGAACCCCTCCCCACCGTCTGCACATGGCTCTGATGGCCAGCACTTGTTCTGAACGATTCTATCTTCAGTTTCTAGAGTCCAGAAATGCTCTAGAGACTAGACCATTGTGTTCTACTCTTATCTGCCCCACTGAAAAGCTCTTACTCTGCCTGAAGGAGGAACATTGCTCAAGCCTTTCCCTCATCTTCTCTTTGTTCTGCTGTCAAAAGAGATGCAGCTGTTGGACT